GAGAGAGAGAGAGGGAAAGAGAGAGCAGCAGAGAACGAGTATTGATTATTATTGACAAAGTTAGTTGCTATAAGAGATAATTTGTTCTGTAAAAAATGATACAATAATAATATTGTAAAGTTAAAATAATACCAAATATATACCTGGTGTTAAGGCATGTGTTGGTGATAAGTCGAAAGTGCGCTTCGCGAGAACGTAGCTTTGCCATCTTCCTCGAAGGGTGGAGCACGGCTATCGACTCGCAGAAATCCTTTGACGCTCTTCGATCTTAATCTTTACTAAGATTGTTATCTTGTCTCTCAAGATTTTTAAGAATTTCTAATTTCGAATAATACTTGTTTCGAAGCGATTCGAAACTCTCGTTGAATTCATGCGCGTCACCGCCCAACAAGCTCAGGTGCAAGCGGTGGTCGGCGTGTGAACGTGCTTCACTTCCACGAGTCGGATCGCGGCGCAGAGATTCGCGATCTCCCTCAAGAACAGACCGATCGCCTCGGCGATCGGTTCGCAGAGATCCTTCAACGACGTGGCGATATTGTAAAGCAGAATCAGCATCGGCTGCACGAGGGCGTTGAACAGAATGGAGAGCAGCGGTTTCACGAAGTAATCGGCTATCATTTGGAGTACCCCGACTGTCAGCGGTCGGATCACGCTGTAGAGGACGAAGCGCAGGAGCTGCAGAATGAAGGCCGTGACGAAGGCGGTGCCGATGTGAATCGTGCCGAAGATCTCCGCCCAGAAGCGCGTCGCAGCCTGATCCGTTTTCTCGGCGCATTTGTCCGTAGTCAATACAGGGTGGCAGTCGGTCGTTCGATAATATCTAGAAGTATTATGTCCTGCTGTTAACTTTATTTAATTATATTATGCCAGAGATTTTTGTGTCGCGTTGCGTTGCCTAGCGAAAATTAAATGATATGTAAAAATTCTTTTATTGTAAATTATATTAATTTAAAAACTTGTTGCTGTAAAAGTTGATTGAAGGGTCTCACTACCTGTAGCGTTAAAGCAAACTTCTAGAAACCATCCTGTATACTCATAACAAATATTGTTACTCACGCGGAGTTTCCGTGATCGAAGTAGTAGATCTCGATCTTCTCCGCCGCTTCCTCCCTCTTGAGTTTCGTTTTAGTCGGATGCTTAACGGGTTTCGATTTATCGGCGTCGTACTTACTCGGTATCCCTTCCGACGCGTCGCGATCGACAAAGGGTGGGAATTCCTGTGGCGGCTGCGACGCGTTGAAATGCTGTTTCGGCACGCCATTAGGACGCGTCTTGGCATAGTGAGGACACTGTACGTGTTTCAGCTTTATCTCATACATCTTGTCCTCTTTGCTGAAATATCCGTTCCTCGGCCGTCGTAGATTGAAACGATTCCAGAACTGTCGCTGCAGTTTATCTAAAAGTGTTTATTTAAAACCGTCACATCTGTCAATTTCTCTTTTCTTTTGCAATGTATTTACTTGCGCGGTGTGTATCTCTCACTCTGCACATAATACGATCGATTTAATTCTTTCAGAAATATGACGCATAATTTCTACTTTTCTACGCAGATTTTTACGATTTTTTTCATTTGATTAATTTTCGCATTTCAGATCTGGATGTTAAAAAGATTCGATCAATAAATCTCAAAGGCAGAGGAGCATTTTACACCCCGTGCGAGTAACAGCGAACGGATTCTCATTCTAATTCCGACGGCGTTTCTGTATACCTTCTTTGACTTTCACAGGCAGAACGTAGCCGTTACTGAAACGATAAATCTGCTTTGAGAGATAAAACGGCCAACGCGTAAATCGTGCGTGATGGCATTACATTTTGTGACTAAGGCAGAGGCACGGGAAGTTCGGTTGGAATTGCGTCGCCGGCGGCTGACTTCTTGAGATCTCCGGCTGCGATTGACGGCCTGGCTTAGCTGGAACCGCGGATGGAGCTTCTGCTGGTGCAGCTACGCAGTAAGTCGGTACTGCATCGGGTGTAGCTACGCAATAAGTCGGTACTGCATCGGGTGTAGCTACGCAATAAGTCGGTACTGCATCGGAGCATTGACAGTCCGTATCTGCGCGCAAGATAGAACCGATGAACGACAGTACATTAGGATAAATCGAGACGCGAGGGAGAATTGAAGTCTATTTGGACAAATGCGATACATAATGATCTCGATATTGTCATTGAAAAAAATCGAGACTGAAGAACAACTAAAAGAACATTAAATGGTTTTCAAGCTTGCTTTCGTAATACGTTTCGAAAAAATGCATGCCTTTAGGTTCTTCAGCAGCATCGTTTTCCTGGTCGACCGTCTCGACGCAGACTGTATTTATGTCGGAATTGACAGCCGAGAGAACGTCGTCGTCCGAACGCAAAGATGTTAAATTGGATGGCTCCGTGTCTGTACAAGAACAATCTCCTCCAGTAACCATGTTAAATGCATTTCTTTAGAATAAAACTCATGGAAAACTAAAGTAACATCAACATTGAACAACATAAACTTAACTGTCACAACAACGGCGATAACAAATGCGATAGTCGCACTCGTTGAATATTCAAGTCGTATCAGTTTTAATTTGCAATATGGCATGGATATTTCAGCGAGTTCGCGGATTCGTAGACGCATGAAAATAATATATAAAAATATTGAACGTTAAAGATGTAAAAAGATGCCGTCCAAATAAATCTTCGCCAAGGAAAAGTCTGTTTTAAATTACTGAAACAATTCATGTTTATTAAGCGATGTGTAACTTTTTAGCATCATTTAGCTACTGCGTTAATTATAGGAAACAATCTTGTTTTATAATATTTTTGCTCAGTGATGCCAGATTTGGGACGCAAGCGGTAAGCAGCATGCGGGAGGAAATATTGCACACATGCGACTAGCTTCGTGTGCTAGAAAAGAGCAGACGTACTATTTCTGTCTCCTTTCTTACGCTCCATTTTATCCGGAATTTTATGAAATTGTATTAGGAACACATGATGATATAGGAGCTCACTCGGAATAGAACCATCTTTTGATTAACTAAAACAACATAACGACTGTACATGATCGTATGTGCAGCAAAAGAAATTAAAAAACAATGTCTTTTTTAGGACGTTTTTAAGACGTCCTAAAGATGTCTTATTTAGCACGTTTGTCTTTAGACGTCCTAAAGAAGACATCGTTTTTTAATTTCTTTAACAATTGGCATTTTACATTTTGCAATAAACTTTCCAAAAATTTCAAGAAAGACGTTTTAATCATTTAAGTATTTTATGAGCATTTTAACACTGTCAAAAGTAGCCCAGAAGAATATAGAAAAATTAAGATTACCCGTTGGAACGGTCTGAAACGCTCCATTTTAGCCGGGATTTTAATAAATTGTTAACAGGAGCACATGATAATATAGGAACTCACTCGGAGTAGCCATCTTTTGGTCAGCTGTTGCAAAATCACTAACGATAAGTGTACCAACTGCATTAGTCGGTGCACTTACCATCATGTACAGTCGTTATGTTGTTTTAACTGATCAAAAGATGGCTCTGTTTCGAGTGAGCTCCTATATCATCATGTGTTCCTATTACAATTTCATAAAATTCCGAATAAAATGGAGCATAAGAAAGGAGACAGAAATAATACGTCTGCTCTTTTCTAACGCACGAGCTAGTCGAAGCGCAGAGCTCACATGTACGTAGCTTGCGCATGTATGCGATATTAATATTAAAAGACGTTCACGCAAAAATCTTTCAAAAATAAAAATACATGTCAAAAGATATAATCAAAACAAAATAAAATCTGTAAGTATATAAATAATCGCATACGTAAATCTCTTCAAACTTTATTTAGTAGATTTATAGGGAATCTACATACATCGTGCTTTTTTTCAGAAAGCAAAATCAGATGTACTTTGCGTGCTTGTATACTTTTTTTTTATTCTTCTCGCAGCATCTTATGACTATGACATAGCTTCGAAAGCTTGATATACCAAAAGTTATTACATCTTTTTAATATATATATAGCTTTCTTTAAAATTTTCTTTCTCGAATATAATGAAAGTTAATTCTTATTTACATCGAATAAAGTTTGGAAGTAGAATAGGACGATTATCATTTAAAGAGATTAGTAAATGACGTACCATGATTATATGTATGTATACATTACGTTATAATTCGTTAAAAATTTAACAGCAATTCGAACATTCAATGCATGTGTGTTATATTGTTTTTCGCGTTACCTCGCAAATCATAGGTGTATGGTATCACATTTGTGAATAAAGTGTCGCATTGTAAATTACAATGTTATACGTGGAAATTCATTCTTACTTTTTGCCTAAGACATATCTCTTAAAATCTTAAAATTAACTATTCTTATATGGCGCATAAGAAAATGTAATCCGATAGAAACGTGCGTAAGTGTACATTTATTACGACGCTGCTGTATATTTTTCGAATGTAAAAACGTGTTATTATTTTCGCATTAATACGCTTACTTAACAATGTATCGATACTTATGATTTGCGAGAAGAGTAAAGACCGATATAACTTGCGCGAATACGAGAATCGTCATTGCATGCCTGTACTACTCGTCGTCGTTATGCAAATCTGTATTCAACGAAATTATACCGGTTTCAATCAAGATTTCCAAATATTACATAGTACTTAAAATAATACAGAGTTTACTCTAACAATTAGACCTTCTGAATAAGGAATAATCATAACGCAATCGTTAGTAAAATGTGAGCGCTATTGCTTTCTATTAATCTCAGTTGGACTAGATTGACAAATAAAAGTATTCCAAAAATCGAAATTCAGCCGACCGATGCGAAGTAATCCTTTCCACAAATGCAGTTATGCGACACTTGATATCGTTACAATATATAATCAATATTATATCTTTTATATTGCTATGTATTTATAATATTCATACACGTATCTTTTGCTAACAACATTGACATGGAGTACTCGTTTTGCATTAATCGTGTAATTGTTATTTCAGGTGTGTCGATATTAAAACTATCTGTATGTTTCAACATTTTGTACACGAGTGTCCCTTATCGTTCTGTACAAGAGAAGTCGTCGGGCGTGAAATTAGTTGTATAAACTAATACGATGGATGGTGAAATCAAATCTAGAGTTAAATGTGTATCTCTCGATGTTTCTTGAAGACATTGTTCTCTTAAATCATAGAAAATTCTAATGTTCGATATTGAAATAAAACTAGATATTTACAAACGCGTCAATAAAACATACAGTTTACATGCAAATGAGCAATCATTAGAATATGAATTTGTCACAGTTATAGGAGAGACAGAAACTTTGCGATCCTATTAATGTCAAAAACACATGCAATCGCGCTTAACGTGCCTTCTTACGATGTGTATAGAAAAATTCGAATAAACTAAACATATGTTTGTGATCAATATCGCTTATTTTTGATCGATTCGCTTTCACACGCGCTCATGGAATTTAGCATAGAAATACTATAAAAAAATAATATAAAATTATAATTTCATATTTTCTTTATAACAGCTTAATTTTTTATCTATATTTTTCTATAATTTACAATGACTTTAATACATATTGTTATATATATATATATATATATAATATTAATACATATTATACTTTAATACATATTATTATATATATATAAATAATATTAAATCATAAAAAGATTTAATATTGCCTATGACAATAGACATTGAAGTCGTTGTGTCATGTCATTATTTTATAGAAAGATATGAAATATCTATAAAGCAAAACATAAATATAATATTACTTCTTTTTTATCTCTAGAAAAGTTGTTTTATGAAACAATCAGAAGAAGTTAAAACCAACTATTGTTGTTTCAGCATAGTTTTCATTTCCACAAGCGCATCTAGAAAGTAAAATTTGCATGTTTCCATCAATCAACTTATATATATATGTATATATATTTGAGATCAAAAGATTTCATAAGATATTTTATCAATTGACGTTTTTCTACACTCTCGTTATAAAATGTTGCCATTAAATTCTGGAATGTACAAGCAGTAACTTCCTTTTTTTTCTGCAGTAATTTGTACACACAATTTGGAAGAATCATTAGTTTGGAGTTAAATACTAAATATAATACACAAACAGAGCGCTATTACAATTACTCGCGTCAAATAAATTCTTTGTTGCGTAACGATGCTCTAGATTTATTCTCCTAACATATAAAAAGCGATTTTGTGACCTAAATGTTTTTGACGAGATATGCTTGATATAAGCTATGTAACAATTCTTAAATAAATATTAGATATAATATGTAATATTGATTTGTAATCGCAAGTATTGTATTACTATGATAAATATTATATTTTAGCCGTAACAGTAACTGATACAAATAGTTGATCTCAACAGAAGTTGTAATGCCGAGCATGCATAAATGCATTTCAAGAAGCATAACATGGCACTTAAGTCAGGTAAAGTCCTTTATGAACAATAGACTAAACAGTATAAACAGCTGTTACGCAGTATTTAATTTTTCGACTATAATTCTACTGCACAGCATTTGATTTCTTTATACACTCTAATTTGCACAATTTATACACATTTATAGCGATACCATATAGGCTATATTATTCTTTTTATTTTTGCATTTTATGCGAATTTTAATCTTTGTATTTTTCATACGCTTAATTATTTCTCGTATATTAACAAATCTTTAATTATTATTTTACATTGTTACTCTATTCGCTTTAATCTTTGAATCTTTCGATAAGCACAAATGCGCAAGTAAGAAATATATATAGACTTCGAATTATTTTGTTGACAAATTTCTTCACTGAATAGTATATACTGTCAAACTTTAAGTGCGTTTACTTCTTGAAGAAGAAGGTGTCTGATGAGTCATCAGTTGCTATTTATAAATTGCGATCTTTAAATTAGACGTGGAATGGTCAGTAAATGGCAATAAATGAACGTGAGACAAATGGTTAATATTTACAACACGCATTTAGTATAAAGAATCATTATTTTCTAGAATCAGGTAAAGAAAATCTTAATACTATAAATACAAAAAGATGGTGCATCATTGAAACGATCGATCGAGAAAATTATATTAGTTCACTCTTTACCGCCTGACTTTCAAATTATAAACTAGCACTTTCAATCCTTCAACTTCCTTTTTGAGACCCTTTCTATCTATTGGCTATCGCAATTTTTAAAATTACGATATAAAACTCATCTTTTCATCTCTAAAAATCTCTGTGGATCCATTTATTTAATTTATTTATATTGAACGTATTTTATAACTTCCCGTCAAATAATTTAGGCAATAAGGGTTCAATCGATGAATCGAAATATTTGTGCATTGCAATTGTTCAATTGCTCATCGACATCTTTAAGTAGAGTACAGGTGGGATATGCACGTTCGCGGGATGTAACAGTCTTTCACGATGCTTGAAAAAATCGTTATTCGAGGACTGTTGTAACAGAGATTATTCTTTACTTAGAAAGTACGCGAGCGTATATGCGTAATTACTGCCGTATTGGAAAGTCACTTACATGTCTGCGGCAATTCTTTGGTGGCCCAAGAAGTACATCAGGCATAAATGATATGGTGTGTGTACAATTAGCTTCTCATTGGCTGCGATAGCAACATAGTCCCGCTTCTTACAAAAACTTTAAACATACTGAAAATTGTCTTTCTGCGCGAGCAGAGGCAACTTCTCGATGCTCTGCTTGAGATCGAAGCTGTGCAGCCAATCCGAGCTGGGTTTCGCCTTTAATCCGCAGAAGCTGAAGTTACAAAAATCGGCGGCGTTCTGCAGAGCACCGCGATGGAATGGGTTCCCCTGTTTGAAGTGCTTATAGCGACCAGCATTCATTCGTTCGTTCGTTGTCATTCCTAGGACCATGATCTGCGATACGAAAATAATTATAATAATAACGCTTCCTCCGTCTGCGTCGGCAACAATTCATATAAAATCACGATATCATTGTACCTGATAACATTGACACGCCAACAGAGTCCCGACCCAGAAAGAATGAAGAGATGTGTTAGTTGCTACCCACATTACCCAGGCGTCGCACGTAGCCGCGGCTATCAAGTAGTTGTCAGCGCTATGACCATTCGTCAAGTTTGACCAACACTCGAATTGCCAATACTGTACACTAGCGGATAAAATAACGATGCACAGCCCCAGCAATGATGCCAGAAATCCAAGGAAATACTTGTGATTGTGAGCACCTGAAAGTCGGACGCAGTTAAACAATTACATCGCTTTTACGCGGCGTAGATCACAACTCATTATTTTTTACAATAGTGAAAAAGATTAGAAAGAGTAAAATAAATGGGGGAAAAGAATACAATTTAGCATTAAAGTCGAAAAAATAAGATGGAGAAAACTGATTAGTTTCTAATTAATAAAAGCATTGTTTAGCATTAATGTGCTTACCGATGCAATTGTTGACCCATGGACAGTGATGATCGAATCGTGCTATACAACGATCACATGTGGAACAATGCTTAGATCTCATGGGTCTTCTGACTAAACAACTACTGCAGAACCATTGTGGCTCAAAGCCTCCCGATTCGGCCAATTCAATTATCGTCTGGAAATAAAGGTACATTTAATTTTTACGTGTACTTTCGCACGGGTAGCTTTGTGCATAAAAATAACAGGAGCTACATTTAATTTGTCCTCGTGAGTAGCTGTAATAACTCCGGGGTCACCCCGCCAAGACTGCAGGAAACATATCCAAAGAGGAACCGATCCACCGATCAATAACAACCATAAATACCACGCTGCGTGAATACCCAGCCAAAATATCCACGTGAAATATATCCACATCTGGAATTACAATTCGTAATTAGTTTGTATGTTTAATTATATCTAATTCATAATTACAGATACAGATTATGAAAAATATAATTACTCAATAATTTGTTAAGATCTGCACCTGAATGTATTCCAATTTTATATAAATCAATAGAAATATATCTATGGGCCGACAATATTGATAATTTTTAAGCAGCTATTAAACATTTCCATAAATTATCTTACACAAATCTTATTCAACTATTTATTGATAAGAATAACACGAGTTTTTCAACATTTTTTAATATTCTGATTGATATATAGTAAATATCAGTAGCAAATTAAAGTTAGATATTTTCTTATTGCGTTTTGCTAATAATTTTATTCGATCTATATAGGATTGTTTAATACGCTTAAAACTCATCTCTCGAGCTTATCGCGTTATCGGTAATATTACTTATCGCGCTTGACAGCTTATCAGTAACTAATCATACGTAGACGACCTCGGTTATTCAGAACAAATCTCGGATTAAACTTACCTTGGTTGCCAAATAAATCGACATTGGTAAGACGTGAAACAGCCGTTCGTCGAACACGAAATGGTTCATTAGATACACCATTACATAAAGGGTGATGAAGGCACCTAGTTTTAGTAAATAATCCCATCCGCTCTGTAGAACCATACCAATCACATAAAACGCTATAAATGGCGTACCGACCATACAAAACCAACGGATTCTCTGTAAAAAATGCACAATATGTAGAATTAAAAAAATTTAATTTAAGTTTCTGCCCAAATTCTTAAAAGGATATACTGGCTTGGAAAAAAAGTAATATTGTCTCTTAGCATTTTTATTATCTGTTAATATCAGAAATCAGTTCTTTAACACAAATTTAATCAAGATAATAATTAAATTTAATACAAATTTATTTAAGATAATTATTTTTAATATCTTATAAATACAAATATCCAAGTTTTGTTTAGCGGAGTCACTTTTGTTTTAAGCTACGTACACTGACACAATTATATAGCATACCTTATCTCTACACCATGTTCTTGTGCGACCTTGCTTCTCCTTAATTTCGTAAGTGACTTTTGGACCTAGCCATGCGGCACCGATATGCGGGCCCAGCAATGTCATCGGTGTTTCATTTTGGAAATTGGGCAAGTCCAACGAGGCTCCATGCTGCACCAGAGTGTGTATCGCTATGTTGTTCTTCGCTATAATGGCCCAATGCAGGGCGGTGTTACCGTGTAGGTTGTCGGTGAGCGAGTGCGACGCACCTAGAGTCAATAACAGCCGCGTTGGATCTAGACTGTAATAGGAAAGACTTTAAAAGTAACCAAAATAATACCGTTCTAATGAGAGAAACCGCGTCGTTTGTATCAATAATAACTCGATGCTCTATGTACCTATTAACTTTGTAGGCGCTCCACATGAGTGGCGTCATAGCGCTTTTATCCGGCATGTTTGGATTAACGCCTTTCGCCACTAGATACGCCACGATGGCCGTGTGACCGAACTGCGCCGCCAGGTGTATGCATGAGAAGCCTTCGGAGTCCCTCAAGGTCGGATCAGCACCTGCTCTCATCAGTATCACAACTGTGGAGAGATGCCCCTGCCTAAAGGTGCAATCAAACAGTTACTTTTTCTTCAATTTTAATCTCTTATATTAAATAAAAAGAGTGGACCTTATGTGCTACAAAGCTATATAAAATGAGAAAAAAGCTACAAAAAGGTTGGAAGTATGATTCATTTCCAAGTTTCTTAATTAATCTCATTGAAATCATATATTTTTCCAGTTTTTCGATAAGAATTGTTTAAACTGACCTTGTAGCCCAATGCAAAGGCGTAGAGGCCAATTCTCCGCCAATAGCATCGACTACAGCTCCCTTTGCAATAAGATATTTAACGATATCTTTACGATTATTTATAGCAGCCCAGTGCAGCAATGTTACAGTCTCCGAATCCGGCTGATTCACATCAGCACCAGCTTCTACCAGTTCTGTCACACGTTCCAATGCCCCATACTGCAAATACATTGTTTTATTCAGCCTCAAACTCCAAAGTTTATCACAAATTTAAGAATCGGCTGCTAAATCGTATTAAATTTACATTTAAAAATAAAGATTATGTGTTTTCGAACTTATTACGACTTTGTGTGTAGCTGTATAAATATAGTGTCCATTTTCTTTGTACATAAATTTAAAACGGTTTGGAAAAACTCAATTCAGTCGTCGAGATTACCTGTGTGGCTCTGACGATATCAAAGGAACTGCAATCCTGCGTGGCAGGTCGCGCTGGTTCCTGATGAAGGCTGCTGGGATCGTCGGGCTCACCCGTACCCTCGCCTTGGCAGGCGGCTTGCATCTGCAGCGCGTACATGCTGCAATTTTCAGGATTGTAACATAGAAAATGTTAGACGTTCGTTTCATGTTGGACAAATCAATTTACAAATCACACAGTGTTGACATAACTTTTAGCAATGAAAATAGGTGCCAATAATTTCAGTATATTTTTGTCTAAAAAGCATTTTTCAATTCTTCTCTTTTCTTCTTTTTTTAAATAAATTACAGACTTCTGATTTTATAGAAAATAACTTTATAAAAATAACTTTATAAAAAAAAACAAATCTTCGGCATTTAATAATGTGTGTAATTATCAAATTTTGTATTATCAGTAATTAGCAAAGTTCGTGCTGTTTTGCTGATAATAAACTTCAAGAAAAACAACATGAACTTTATTGGCTATTTGATAAAATATAATCTTAGCGAATATAATATAAATTCCTAATATAACAAAAAGAATTAATCACAGTTAACAATTAAATGTTAATACAATCCTACTATTTTTTGCTTTTTATAATTTCTTATTTTATTTATTTATCTTTTATTTTTAATAGAAATGGCATTTTTTCTATTTTTTAAAATATATTATAGTATTGTTTTGTCCAATTATTCACAGCACTTTTGTGAATAAGAGTCCTGTATGATTCAGAGATCTTACCTGTAGCTACCTTGATTTAAAAGATTTATAACTCTGGCTCATATATCCAGCGCACATTCCTTTATCACGCACACATCGTCAAAAACACATAGTGTGTATTACTTCCAGCATATCAACGCGTGATTTTGTATTCGAGTCAGTAACAAACGTATGCAGCAGTGTATATAAATTATATTAAATTACATATTGTTGTCAAGGATACGTCATGTCTAGCTATTGTTTACTATGGTTAGCAAATATTGAAAAAGCAATTGGTGATTAGATCTATTATTTAGTTGCAGTTACATTTTCTGCAGTTAAAATGTATGTCAAGTACATATTCATGCTTGGAAAAAAAAATAAGAAAGAAATAGAATAAAATCAGTTTTTTTAGTTGTAATACAATACATCAATTTTGTGCCAAGTAAAATAAATTTAGAATATAAAAGAGAAAAGAAATAGAAAAATTCTGTTATATGTAGCACTTTAATTGCAGTGCATTGAACAGAAAACAACTTGTACAAATGAATGAATTGTTACATATTAGTTAAAATTACTTGTGAGATTTAAATCCTTTTCAAAGAGAAAAACAACTAAACTTGAGATAATTTTATTATGTTCATTGAATTTATATATATATATATATAAATATATCTGAAAATAATAATGCATTGAAATGCAACGCAAATTCTATAGATTTATGATCTTGTTCTTGCGCTGTTTAGATATAACATATCTCAATTACAAGAGCAAAATGTCAGTGGCTTCTTCATCAATTACAAACGTTATATCTAATTACAAATGCATCCAAAGTGTAAGTTGTGTCATATACAGAATTAGCAGAAAGCATTAACTCATCCTCTTTCTATTCCCACTTGAGATCACTTGACAAATTCTGAAGTCTAGGTGCAAAGTATTCTATCCTGTTTTTGTCTTTCAATGTTAGATGAGCTGACTCAACGTGGCTCACCCTCGGAATTTGTCCTCGACTCTTTCTCGCCGAGAGAACGAGAGAAACCGAGAAGCGCTCGCCACCCACGCTGATCGATCTTCGGAGCGCGCACAAAAATAAATCGCTTTATATATACGTACGGAATGATAGAGCCTGGCTTACCTCGCTGACGGCGGTGTTTTGCGCTGTTAATGCGTGGTGAACATAGTAGTGCACGACAACGGCGTGTCCGACCTTCGGGGTGCGAGGCGGAGGGTTAGTTTAGGACGAAGAGCACCGTGTATCCGGGGGGTGGGGCGCCGGCATATCACCACACGTATGCACATACACACGCTGCGCTGCCGGGGTTGACCTTTTGCACGGCACCCTCGTGACTCCTCCGCGAGAATCGCGAGTTGTGCCTCCTCTTCTCCGTCCGCGGAACCCGACGAGTGTTTCGGCACGTTTATCTTGAGTGATTGCAAACGTGGGCACCGAAACGCACTAGACCGTCGCGGCGCGCACCCGCTCCGTCATCGCCGCCGTGTTTTTCACGTTTACGCGCTTACGCGACGCGGCCCCGGTATCGACCTAACGCAACGCCGTTTGCACACTCGATCGGCAACATCGACGAAAATTTCTTGGAAGAATCGACGGGTAAAGAACATCGCAGAGACATCTCGCGCGAGAGTATGTAATTGTCATAGAAAATTCATATCGATATCCAATAAGAAAATTCATTTTCCACATTTCGTTTACGAAGTGTATTTCTGACAAATTGTACCGTAATCAAATAGCGTTTCACAGTTCAGTCTTCAAAGATGGATGTGGTTTTACATCCTTTTATAAATATAAATAGCTTCAGTGAAGATGCATCCAGACAAACTTGCATCGTGCATAAGATTGACCCAATTCCTCATGCATCTTCTTATGGATGTACCCTAAATTAATGAAGATTACTAGATTACTAGATTGTCAGTGTTGGACATTCACGATTCTTCTGACGCTAATAAAGTTGGCATCGAAGGCAGTAGAAAAACTGCTAGATGCTTCTATATTCGTATCGCGGGCATAACATGCACGAACATGCACGAACATGACACATGCACGAACATGCACGAACATGACACATGCACGACATGCACGAACATGCACGAACATGACACATGCGCGTCATGCACAACCATTGAAATATATACCGTGCACAACCACATATGTAGAAGAATAAAGGAAGGGGCGGCGACCACACCACCCGAAGCGTACCAATCCCTTGGCGAAACGTCACAGATGATTATTACGTCACTGAACACAATCGCAACCGCCGCTATGTGTCCTTTTTCCCACCGTTATCTCGTCGCTGCTCTTTGTCTCACGTGTTATGTGCGTTTGGGATTTAATCGGGTGAGGAACAGCTGTTGCTTGCGCGCCAACAGAACACGCTCGACTCTCATAGCACATGTATCGCTCCGCTTGTATCGAGTAAGTAACAATCCGTACGTGTCAAGTGCAACGATCAGAGATCAAAGACACTTTACGAAGACTGCGTATACGCTTCGATTCGTACGTTTTTCTCAAGCAGAGGCACGCGGAAGTGACGGATTAATCTTGCGGTAATCACAAGTTTCTTAAACGCGGTGCGCACGTCTCCGCTCGCATTTAAGTAATTTTCGTTTGTGGAACGTAGTATCGCGTGACATAACAGAACACGTGTAAACGATATCATTCTTCGAAAGTAATACGAGCCGGGATTTTCGAAAGCATCGGTGTCTACGAAGGCATAGAAGAAAAGGATAGACAGCGGAACGAGAGGCAAATTCATCACGCGAAGAAGACGAAGAGGTAGATCAAGGAGTATTAAACGATTCGGCGACATGAATCTCTCATTCGCCGGCTGCGGCTTCCTTGGCATCTACCACGTCGGCGTGGCGGTTTGCTTCAAAAAGTACGCGCCACATTTGCTGTTGAACAAGATAAGCGGCGCGTCCGCGGGTGCTATCGCCGCATGCTGCTTGCTCTGCGACTTGCCCCTCGGTGAGTGAACTCTTTAAACTTTTTCCAATTTGGTTACGTAAAAATGTCTTTTTTTTCTATAATGCTTTACGACAATTTTGCATAGTTGAAGCAACGCATGATTAGAATTGATAAACTATGCTCTTCTAATCTGCATAAAATTTTCTAGAATGTAGGTAATAAAAATAGGTTTTAAATTTACATATAAAATTAAGACGAGATTTAACATTGGCTTATCGTTCGCAATTAATTTGAATCACAAAGAGTTAAAAGAGTCACGTTGGATAAATAAAATTCGTGTGTAAAGTAAAGTAGACGGATTGTGTACTAATTCTTTATTCAGCACCATTTCTTTCTCTTCTTTTTTATCATATCTTTTATGATAGAGAAATATTTATAATTACAAAAAAATATGCAATCAATTTTATCGTACATTACTCTCGTAATCATTCATCGATATCTTATTTTTAACTCACGAGGGGTTCACGACGAATAATGTATCACACATGTTATATGACATTCTCCTTTATTCTCATAAACTTTAAGGTTAAACTTTAGGTTTATTGACTTATTTTTGTAGATATTTTTGTAGATTGACTTATTTTTGTAGATAAAATTCATTTAAAAATAATGAAATTCAACACTCAAATTCTTAATGACATGTTGTGCCACGTTTCATATTTTACACAAATAAAAAAGTTTTATTTATTTTATTATTTTTTTTAGAAAAATATAATATATTGAATACGTTCTTTAGTACATTCTCTATTTTTGGGTATCGTAAATTTTTCAATAATTTGGATCTTTTCTTCTTTCTTTCTCTTTTTACGAATACCTCTTTCACAATAAGCACAAAGACGTCTTTCAGATGGCTTTTAGATAACAATAGTTAACGACTTTGGAGAGCCCCTCTTACGGCCAAGGTTTTTAGATATCTTTCAGGTAGCTTTAAAATTTGTGTGTTATCTGGATTTTCTTTCTCTTGTTCCTTATTATTTCACATTTTATGGAAACTTCCATAGAAATTTTTGCAGGATGCTGTAGCTATTATTTTTTTCGACAAAGCGTACATAATAGTAATACTTTAGTTTAATATCTAAACTTTTACTCTTTTGTCTGAAACTTTGAATTATTTTTTTCTAAAATTTCTAGATTTGGAAATGATTGTAAGAGTTCTATTATTGGGGAATTTCAAATCAAATAGTTATTTGATAAATTTGTTACATTTAAGCATTAATGTTTAACAGCTTCGCGATTATCTAAACAATGCAGTTATGTTGGGGTGAAATAAAATTACATGTCGTTGAACAATGAGAGCGTCAGTGAAATGGATGGATGGATTTATTATTCCGCCAATAATTTACCGCGCGTCGCGTAACAATAATTTGCCGCGATAATGAGAGCAACTAATTAGCGCGCGACGCGCAAATTTGTAATGCGTTACCCTTTCTCATATCTGTCACTCACCGATTGCACGCCGCATTACATATTAATTCTGTTAAATGACCGGGTGGTCGTTTTGTAGAATAACAATTAAGATTGTGGGCTCGTTTATTGCAGGTGTGATATCGTACGTTATCGTTTGCAAAGAAATCAAATGTGTACAGAAAGAGATAAGCAAAACACATAATTAAGAAAAGAAAATATTATTGTAACATTCACTTGAAATTGATCGAAAAAATTTTCTTTTTATCGCTCATTTGGCAAATCTTAATTTGTGGAAAGATTTTTATTTTATTTAAATAACATGTGAATCCAAAAACTGTGAATCTCGATAACAGATCTTTCCATAAGAATTTTTATCTAAAGTAAGATATCTGTAGCTTATAAAGATAAGTAAACACTTATTGCGTTTCTTAAGCATTTGCTTATCTCCGTAACAATGGATGAGGCATTTTATATATTTTGTGTATCTTGTCGATAAATGTATACAGTTATAAATATGGACATTGCGATAATCTCCGCAATTCCGCGTAAGTGTAAGGCGTTTTTAGAAATTCGATCGGTGCACTTATCTTCTGATACGCTCTCCTTCTCCTGAAATAATTTATGCGGAGCATGCATAAACTTCGTCACTCTACGCAAATCTCATAAATAGGTCATGCTTAGAGCCATAGCCGAATGCCATAACGGAGATTTATCACACGAGTGTTTTGTTTTCCCCGCGAAGTTAAACGTGTTGTCTTTTCTTTATCACGACCGGATAAACACTCGTACCCTTGTGATCTCATATCTCGCACGCTGTTGTGCGTCATGTGTATAGAATCCACGAATGCAACGTAACAGCAAGCTCGTTGATGTTATCTAACTTTTATTGTTCTGGATTTCGTGATATTTTTATATTTAAAATTGAGATTTAAATTATAAAATTAAACCTTTTAGTTGAATCTATACATAATATAGATTTAAAGTGAAAATAAATTTTGAAATAAACTGAAATAAAATAAACTTCTATATTCTCTTTCATAATATTATTTAATTAATGTTTGCAAACGTTTATTTTTAATTATTTTTAATATATTGTTCTTGATTTATTTTATATATACTTATTTTCATACTTAAAAAATTCTATTTATATTTGAAAAGCAGATAATATTGGCAAGATATCGAAATATTGATCGATACGATTTATTGAAATTATTGGAAAGCCAATTTTTGCATAAGTATGACACTTATTTTAACATTTGACATAATCCAGCGAGCTAATGAGTCACTTTTGATACGATTATAATAGCGAGTTCGAGTATTGCCGCACCTTGCCGTCTTGCATAAATAGAGTTACAGAGACCAGATGTTATACCAGAACAAACGTAGCCGACACTTTAATTATGCGAGATGAACATTGCCAGGATGACAAATACTTATGCACTTTAGAATTAACAAGCAGACTTTGGTATATATAAATATATACATATATTAAAAAAAGCAATTTTATTCCTGTTTTTTATTCAGTAATAGTGATTTATTTGTTTATCGTTAACTTGACTTTTGATTTATAAAAAAACTAGTAAAACCTGTCTAGATTGTTTTTTGTACAACACTCCTACAATTTGGGTTTTTACCGCGATTAATAAAAATGTATATAACGGGTTTGAAAAGATCAATGTTTAATTAACGTATTTATCAGTATAAATATACATTAATGAAATATCAATCCTATTAATCTCTTATATAATATCTCTAATTTATTTTATCAGACTATTTATATATGCCATTATAAAGATTCGACCAATCTAAAGATACATATTAAGATACATAGAAAATAAATATCAAATAAGAGTTTTATCCACTTTGAAATGTTTTTAATCATTCACAAGTCATAAGTGATAAAAAGTAGAAATTAGATAGCATATTAATTCATGGGTCATGGCAATTAAAAGCTTCATATAATTCAATTCATTAATTTCTTCGTCGTCAGATGTTGCCTTCGTGTACACATATATTATTCATGCGTTTCCGGTTACTGCGGATAAACAAGGTCACCGCAGCCTAGATCGTTTAATATATATATGTATATATACACATATATATATATATGTATATATATAATATATATATATGTAAACACGCGTCTTGTGTAACGAGCCACTCGCTATACGACAAACATGTTTTCCCATCTCCAAGAGTGGATCAAAATCATGGTCAGGCGGCACGAATCGGAGGCTAGTCACTGGCGAAATGAACGCTATCTCTCGCCAGCTCTTCCGCCTAGATATATACATTGGTGCCAGTGGAACTAGGTTACGACTACACGTTTGTTATGAGAAATATTTGTTACGTATGATAATAGGCCTGTGACACTTCATCGCGTGTGTCGCAACCGAAAATAATATTATCGATAATAGTGCGTTGGTTCTCTTTGAACGATGCTGCGATGGCTTAAATGGCACTTATATGTATATCTCTAAGGAGGAAATATTCGCATTTTATCAAACATCAATTTGATAAATCAGTCGATCTAAATACTGATCAGATGAGATGTACAACACGAGATACATTGTGCGTGGAAATCCCGCACAAGTGTAGATATGCCAAAGATTTCATTTTAGCGATAAGTCGATGGTTTGTTCTTTTTTATCTTTCCAAAATTTATTTACACTTGAAGCTTATCTTTATGATGCAATAAAAATATTCTGAAAATTAATGGTTGATCATTGATGATTCCTATCGCATCATGCGACCCGGCAGTTTGCTTTTGATAATAAAAGAAGTTATTTGTAGATGAAGTCGACGTGTATTTGCTTGATTATGGAGAAGAATAATCTCTTGCACAAGATTGATAAATTATCAAATAAAGCAAATGCGGAAGCAAGAACATTAATCACACATTAATCGATTTTATCGCGTTGCGCAAAACAACGACACGTGTGTATTGGGAGAAAATGTCCGAGATGTTTCGTATATCTTTTCAATGCTCTGTGAATTGATGCGGAATTAAAGTCGGTCAATGTCGACAGTGCAAAAATGGGTAAAATGCTTCGTAAGCGCGTTTCTGTTTTCACGCACGTGAAACTATAGTGACACGATAAATGAGAAAGATAGAATAAAATAACAGTGATAAATATTTTTTTATTATTTTTTTCAACAAATATTTGCTAATTTAATATATAAGTTTAGTAATTCTTATGAATGAAGAATGCTTAACGAATGTCCAAATCTGCGTATCCAGATATATTATATATCGCAAAATCAGCAAGCTATCTATAGTACACTGATTTACAGATGCATGCGTGAGTTCATAATTAAATTAACAATAAAATAATGCATTCCGCATTAAGTGTAAAATCAGTAAATTTAGAGTTTAATGTTTTTTGCATAGCTCAGCAAGAGTCTAAGAAACAGCATTAATCATTTCTTCTTGCATCGCAATTATATATTGAGATATGACTCCATCGAAAACCAGATAATTTCTTCACACAATTATCTTTTTTTCAAATATCGATGATGCATAGATATCAGCAATGTGAAAGTCGCGGCTATTAATCTATCTAAACAATGTTTATTGAAAGAGTAAAGTCTAAAAGTCAGTATCTTTTCCGTGCAATTCGATCGACTCGATATGATTATGATATGCAAATATCAGGTGCCATTGTTAATGCGGTGACGAAGTCCGCATGTGCATTTGATATCTTTCGTATCTTTGCAAAGTAATTAAATTTCGTATCTTGACGAAAGATAATCTTTGCCAGGGATTAAGAACGGATTGTAAACGTGTTTAATTTCGAAACCATTCTTTTACACATTTGTAAAGATTGAATCAGCATTTATCGATGCACTTTGTTCGAATAAGATCACGAAGAATTCGCATTTTAATTTATTTATCGATAAAAAATATTTTTTATTTTGTTTTTCTGAATTATATTACGATGTTTTCTAAAAATAAATTATTTTATTCTTGAATAATGACTAAAAGACTAAACAAGTTTAGATTATAAATTTATTGATGTTTTCTCGAGTATTTATTTCTTGGTTTACTTCGTTAAACTTTGAAAAAGACTTGGAGTTTTACAAGTCGCGGAGCATTTAGACAAAGTTCTAAATAAACAATGAGCTTTACAAATTAAAGTCCTAGATAGTTCAATCAATTCTGGCTGTAATTTAAATATAATAAAAGGCTAGCACGAAATGATTTTCCGGTATGAAATAACAGTCGCCGGTCGATGAAGAATGTGTTCATAGATCGAGTGCATTGGCTTTAATGCATGATTGTATCCCATCATCTTCATTTATCATTCAATCCAATTGCATAATAATTCCTACCAACTCAATAGTTCATCAATACGTGTCTTTGTCGAAGAAATCATTGCTTGCAGTTTTTGTCAATTACGCAATACATTAATTATCGTTTGACATTTGCTCCCTAATCATTATTCCGTTATTTTATACGTCAGCATCAGCGTATACATAAGCGTTGATACATTCAGTCATTAGCAAGCTATCGCTAACATTACCTCTATAATCAAACGTTTACTCTTACTTTTTTGAGTAATAATACTTTTTGCATTTGATACATAAATTCGAAATTTGAATATTGTTCGAATATTTAATAGAATGGAATAATTTCAGATACTTTAAATATTAAAACATTTATAGCTTTGCAAAATTACTTGAGCTTCGCGAATACGCTTTACATATCGTTCTCTTTTATAGTTTTCGAAATAATGTTTACACAAAACGAGATGTACGGTATATCATTTATTGTAATTTAGAATTTGCAGAGAACTTGCGAAAACCTGCGAAAACTTGCGGAAAGAGAAATTCGTCAATGTCGACGAAGAAGCGCGTATCCACGTTGCTCCTTGATCTTTCCACCGCGTAATAATTGCGCGGCGTAGAACGCAAGCCGCGGATCCGGCACGTGATGTCAGCTTCCTTCGTATCTGCGGGCGTGAGATACCGCGAACAAAGCGATGCTGTTTCTATCGACCAAGCTGACGATATGCTGACTTATACACGCGCTCCGAGCGATTCGCTAACGTTTGCATATCATCTGATAACCCCTGATGAGTTTTTTTCTCTCTCTCTCTCTTGCATTCGCAGCGATTTCCTGGCGGATCGCCGTCCGCAGATTAATAAATCCAAAATAATCGCATATGTATCATTTCTGGGCTCTTCGTCTTTTTTGACACGTCAAGATCAAGCACGTTATTATGAATGTAAACATTACGCATATGTATGCTTATCGACAAGATTTGTGACGTACGTAGCAGTGGTGTATACGCGGACGGAAGTTGGATTTGCATGAAGGTTTATCTGAAAAATATTCAACGCAATCCTATCAATGCGATTAAACTTTGTAATTCCAATTTAAGCACGCTTGAAAATATTCAATACGCGTGAACACACGCGGAAAAATAGTAATAACGAGAGATTGAAGGAAATTATCTTTGCTATTTCTTAGATCAGGAAAATTTTTGTTACATTTTATCTTTCTGCCTGTGTTACTTTGAATGCTTCTTTTTATATTTTATTTTTCTCTTACATTGGGATTATTCTTAATATTTTTGTATCTTCCTGTGAAACGACGATATTGAAACTTGTTGTTCTAAATGTTATATTTTATTTCTGTCGTATTATCGTGTTTCATGAGGTTTCTGAGAGAGAGAGAAGTAGTTAAAAAATTGCAAAAAATTCTTTCCTTAATCAAACGCCGCTGTATGGACCACTCATTACGTCAATCTGTGACCTTTTCTGCAGCATAGAATTCTTCGAAAGTATTAAGATTACGAAACAATATTGTGCCAAGATACGTGGCGTGGTCGATCGGAAGACAGTACACGCGCGATAATTTCTCTTTTTTTTTTCTATCATTTTTTCTTTCTTTGACGTCGTCGGGACTGTTTCTAAGTTTGCGGGGAGCAAATGTCAAAAAAAAGTGATAGCGTTTACGTAGTTGATAAATTCAATAGATTTGCGTGTTTGCGTTTATTTATCGATCTATCATGGATATCTCTGTTGACGATATGTTATTGACGTTATATTGATTTAGACATAGCATTTTTTATGTATTGCACCTTGAATATCTTATGACGTTATGTTTTGATATTGATGTCGCAGTAGCATCTACTTAGAAATGTGCGAGTTCTATTTAAGAATTATATATTAATTCTGGAAACTATGATTTTTCGATTATTAATGTACATTGAAATATTTAAATGATAATATATTATTAAAAAGCATCTTTGTTTGAAAAGATTAATAAACAAATAAAGTTGGAAAAGCGACAAATAATTAAAATTCAAATGCTTTTTTGTCATAATTCCACGCTTCGATATAACGATTCGATTTTAATACTGTTTGTTCTTTCAAAGTGATTGATCGATTTGACGTTTTATCGACAAACAATGTCATCGAGATATCTCGTGAATATCTTATCAATCTCGTGAATAATTGTGCAGTGATTCACTTATTATCTTCTTCAATTTCAAGAGAAATTACAAGTGCGTTTTAAGTATTGCGCTCTCTTAATATGAGATCATATTTAAAATATTTAGTTAATAGTTAAATAATATATCATACATCCAATTCCTACTTGGACAAACATAATTTATTCATATAAAAATTGCAAAAATTTTTTTTGCTATGACATGAATTGATTGCATTGTGGCGTATGTATTTTCGCTCGTATCTGAGAGCTATAAAAGAACGGCCTCACTTTATTCGATAAGTGATACTTGTTCCTCTTTGTTTACGACTAACACTAGTGCCTGAATGGATCTGTTGCCACGGATGTATCGATGACTCGCAAATGTCCTATCAATCTTGGTCAACTTTGCTCTGATTCATGACCGGTCGGTGTTTTTCTTGTTGCAGGAGAAATAACGAGCAATGTAATGCGCGTGGTACGCGAAGCACGACAATATGCGCTCGGACCGTTTAGTCCATCCTGCAATATACAAAGCATATTGCTCGAAGGTTTGCAAAAGGTAAAGCAAAGCAAGAAAAACAAAACGAATGCTAATATTTTAAATAAAAGTTTGATTTGCAAAATGGACTTCTTGAAACTTGACTGACACCAGAACGCTTATTAATTGTTTTTTAAGCGCTAAATAGGATTGCTTTCTATTTCAGTTTTTACCAGACGATGCTCATATCCGTGTAAATGGCAAATTACACATCTCTCTGACCAGAGTGTATGATGGGAAGAATGTGATCGTTTCACAATTCAATTCAAAAGAAGACCTACTGCAAGTGAGTCGATTCGACTGCGTATCATTTGCAACTGTGTGCTTCGCATTGTTGTGCTTCAAGTTCGATATTAAGATATTTTGATGCAACAGATTTGTTATATTTAGATTTAAACAAAATATTAGAGACATTTATTATATTTGTTATTTGAAGAAAATTTTATTACAGATAATTATTAAAAATTATTTTTCATATTTAAATTCTAATAATTCTTTGCAATGGAATATTTGACTAAAAATCTCTACCACTTTATGCTAATATTTTCGCTTTTATGCAGGCTCTAATGGCCACTTCGTTCGTGCCATTTTTTTCCGGTTTACTGCCACCGCGATTTCATGGCATTAGATACATGGATGGTGGTTTCAGCGACAATCTTCCTATGCTCGATGAAAATACCGTTACCATTAGTCCGTTCTGCGGAGAGAGCGATATTTGCCCGAGGGATATCTCGTCTCAACTTTTTCACGTACGTATTACTCGCGCGTATCAGTAAACTAATTTCTTTGCTCATGAAGCTGAAATATCTCCGACGATGCGTGCAATTACATTAACGAGCGCGCGTTTGTTTGATTAACTCAGCAATTTAAATTATCGCGTGTTTACATCATTTGTGCATATATAATTTGCAGATCAATCTTGCCAATACAAGCATAGAAGTTTCTAGACAAAACATATATAGGTTCACGAAGATACTTTTCCCACCTAATCCCGAGGTATGTATATGACTGAATATGAATCATTACGCATTGGCATGATAATAAAATAGCAATAAACAGTACTCTTAGATGTGTTGACGTAGGAGAGTTTTAGCTGTAATTTTAATGTATAGAAAAATATAAGCAATAACATAAATTAAATTTCTAATATACATACATTTCAATTTACATAAAAATACAACAACAGAAAAGCACTTTACTTTTGCTTATGCAATGTCTTAAATCACAATACGTATAATTTTATGCATTCTTTTGAATTGCAGATTCTCTCGAATATGTGCAAGCAAGGATTCGACGATGCGTTAAGATTTTTGCATCGTAACAATCTATTGAATTGCACAAGGTGCCTCGCAGTACAGTCAACCTTCGTAATACAGGAAACAATCGACGATAGCATGGAATACGATCCGGAATGTATCGAGTGTAAAATGCACAGACAAGTAAGGTTCACAATATAACAGTATTTTCGATAATATTATTATTCATTCCTTATTATTTGCATCAAAATTTAATTTAAGTTTACTTCTGTCAATTGATTTATAAATCACTGAGTTATTTTCATTTTTAATATGCCATTTTTATATATGCAAGCCTGTGATGTATGATTTTTAGGAAGCATTGGTAGCTAATTTGCCTGAAACCGTTATGACAATATTTCAAGATGCCATAGATTCCGCCAACAAAGGACTAGTTAATTGGTTGTTTAAGCATCGTAGTATGAAACTGCTATCGCTGTTGACTTTGCCTTGTACGCTACCGGCAGATGTGATGTATGCTACTCTTACAAAGTAAGTAACACGTTACACGAATAGTTTACTTTTATAAATTTATACATATAGAAATCAATATTAACATTGTTGGCTGATATAAACTAACAGATTCTAACACAATTTCTGGTAGAAAACCAATATAATTAAGTGCTAAACTATTTTTTTTCTTTATTTAGAAGGTCTAAGATAGCTCTTTCTTAGCATCTAAAAAAATTTATCACTTTGTGCTTATTAAAAATTTCCAACAAATTACGCAGATCTAATCTAATATTTAATACTTGATTATTATTTGGAGATGTTGCATGTTATAAATATACATACTTTGGTGAAGGAATCTTTTTTACTAATAAATGGAACAGATAAAGTATGTTTACTATTTTTTATTGCACTGTGAATTGCACTGTAAATTGCACAAACGGTCACTAATTCATTTAACGTCACGACTCAATTATTCCTTATGATTATTGCTTGTGATATCGTCTTTAACATCATGCATGTCATTGGTAGTCTCATTGGTAACAACATAGAAACTCGCAACTTGGAATACAAAGTAGTCGGAAATGTTCTGCGTACCCCTCAACACACACAGGCGCTTACTTGCAATAAGCATTTAACACGTTCCTGGTAAGCATGAGAATCCCAGGCTTTCTCATTCTTTATTTCGTGATACACTAATGTGCATCTACGAAATTATCGAAAGATTTATTGCCTTTTGCTTTATTTTTGATTGTAAATGTATTCTGATGCAATTGCTGTTGAATTCTTTGCTGTTCATAAAAATATTGTAGTTTTTCAATTATTATTTTACACTTTGCAAACAGGGATGCGAAAAAATGCAGAATTATTCGTAATATATAGATAAAAATTCAAGAGTACATATACATGAAGATTTATGTGTTCACACAGAGATAGATACCTCTGTAATAATTAATATTTTATGATAATTTTTTTTACAATTAATGAAAAACATATATTTGTTTCAATTTCAGGCTTATTATGAGTGTTCCGAAGCTAAGAAATAATTTAGTGGAATTAAGTAAATTTTTCTTAGAACAGTTGAGTATAATGTTCCCGAAAATCACTGTCTATGTGCCGCTGTCTCAAACTGTTAAGTGTCGGCTGAACATCATGGAATATGGTCCAAGTGAGTAAACCATCGATTTTTAATACGTATTGTTTTTCAATGATTAAATTTAACGTATAATAAATATTTGTGAATATATTATGAATATATGAATATATGAATAATATTTTAAAGTGCGAATGAATTAATTTATTATGCATCATTATGCACATACATTATGTATATGCGGACTCTGTGAATAATCTCCTAATTCATAAACTTTTTTGTAGATATGTACGATGTGGAAGAGACAGATTCTGTATATAGAAAACAGAAGAACGTGAATTTAACTGTCCAATACGAGTAAGTAATTAATTGCTGTTAATTTATAATTGTATATTTATTATCCAAACTGATATCACTGTTACGTCATTTTAGTACACAATCATGGCTAGATTCAAGATCGAATTGCGTGATAAATATGGATGATCTTACATCAGTGGACGACACCTTTGACAATATTCTCCAAGTAAGTAATATAAAAACAATAAAATATTCAAAATATGATTGAAATTATATCTCGATACGATATTAAATCTCATAATCTCTTTTTAAGGTAACTTCAGAACAAGAGGCTATAATAGCATATTATTATATGGATGATAACAACAAAGTGCAAGTGACAGAGATCTTCGATGTAACTGATTCGGAATCGCACACGATGTTGTCCATGGACGAAGTCGACACCAATAAACAACTCCAATTTGATGATTGGGATGAGCGTACATGGTTATCTCAACGTACATTTAACGATAGTAAGTTAATTCGCATTTTCTTTAAGACCTGATTTGCAATCAATATTTCAAAGCATTCAATAATTGCATATAAAATTGTAGAAAATATGTATAACGCGCGATATTTGTCGTAGTGATTACAGAGTCTCTTTTCACTGAAGAGAATGAAAAAAGCACGGAGAATTTATCGGATATATCATTAGATGATGAAGTGCTAAACAGTGGAAATATCTTTTCCGATCCAGAAAGTGAATGGGAGGTAGAAAAGAATACCGAGCAAACAGAGGTACCTAAGTCTCCAGATAGTCGGCCGGAAGTAGATCAACCGTCCACAAGCTTGTTGCAAAAATAACTAGTAGCCTATTATTGTTATCACGTAGAACAATTAGTATAGGTTTATAGGTATTTTATTGCGAGAACATACGCGCGCTATTTATTTAGCGGATTAAACAGGGTGAGATATTTAAAACTTCGATCGACTACTTCCATTATAAATGAGCATGCAAAAAATATAACGGAAGTAGATTAATATCGTTATACTATTGAACATGTGCCAATATCACTTGCATTTAAGTGTCTGTAGTACGATATATATATACAGTATTCTATCTTAATCCAAGTTTACTAACTTGGATTTGGAAATTTAATGTTAATATAAACGCATGCGTGAGTCTACAAATCTCACATAAAGAGACTGATGCATTGATGATTAAAAAGCGCACAGAACACCATATTTTTTAGCTGGAGACTTTAGTAGAGATAATTTTCCTTCCAAACAATGTCGAGTTAAATAATTTTTTAATAATTAACAATTGAAAATACAAACAATCGAGACAAATTATGTTTTAAAACGGAAAATACATGACAAAATCATATAATTCAGTGAATTTCAAGTAAATTTGATAAATACATAATTGATTGTTTCAAAATTAATAATTTTTTAATAATTATTAATCCTTGATTTTAAAAAATCTCCGAAAAGTTTTTACAATTGATTACAGCTAAAGGTAACTGGTGATACGCGAACTAGAATGTGTAAAAATTGTTCGTAAATTTTGAAATGTATTGAATGAACACTTGGTAAACTTGTGCTTCGAAATTATATTTTTCCGAGCTGTAAGATATGTGTACAATTTACATTTAATATTAATTTCAATGCTTACTTTTTTTTAAGAAATATGCGTATTTAAATGTATGGCTTGTAGAATGTTAATTTTTTCCTTTCTCTTTTTATATTCTATTTTCTTTATTATATGCTTCTAAAATTTGGCAGCAACTTTTAGCATACTCTGTAAAATCTATGACATAATCTTTGTAATAATAATCTTTTTATTCTGAACAACAATTCTTTTCTTTTCTGTTGCATTCTGCAACAATATTCTTTTTTATTATAAATTTAGTAGAAGAAATATAAAAAAAGAGATAAATAAAAACAGTGGTAAAGATTGTATAGATTTTTTTAAATATTTTATTTTTTATGTGAATATGATTTATTAGCAACTCTTGATCATGACCAGTTTGTAAAGTTTAATAATAATCTTTATACTATCGAATTATCATATACATATTTAAAAATATTTTGTAATTAATTACTAACAGCTAAGCATTCCGTTATGTATATATATATATATATATATATATATATCT